TTTCTTTTGCAAAAAGGAAGTAATAACAGTACCCCCGTTCTGGGCTGTGTGAAGGAACAGCTGAGGGCCTGGCCATAACGCCCAGCTGGCGGAAGGGACCCCGCTTCAGTCAGAAGGGGCCGGGAGACTAAAATGGAGCCGTCACCATCCTAGAGACCGCGGGCCTGACAGACACCCGTCTCTGCCGTGACTGCCGGACCCCGTGCCTGGCCCTCAGGCCCCGCCTGACCCCAGGCTCCCGTCCACTCACACCCAGGGCCTGGGCACTGGGGACACAGAAGCGAGTGAAAAAGACAGACCCTGCCCGGGCCAGGCGTCCCGGTTGGGGAACCAGACGACCCAGAACAAGAGCTGCCAGTGGGGACGGTGTGCTCGGGCCCTGGCCGGCGTCCTAAACCGGCACTTGGAAGTTGTCAGAAATGCAGATCCTGGAACCCTCCTGATTACAAAACTGGGAGGAGGGCCAGGAGACCGTGATGCATGCTCAAGTCTGAGGACCACGGAGATAAGGAGGAGCTGGGAGCCGGTGGCACGCAGGCACGGGCGCTGGGCCCCAGGACAAAGACCGACTGGCCGGGGGCGAGGCTGGTGTGGGGCAGGAGGGGGTGAGCCCCTCCCCCGGCTCACTTTCTTGCCCTGTCCTCTGCAGCTAGAGGCCTCGGGGCAGGGTGCCTCACCACAGGTCCCACACCGGGCAGGACCTGCACCCCAGTTCTCGCTCCCTGGCAGGACAGAGTAAGCACCAAAGGGTCCAACCCAAGGAAAGGGAGGACCATCATGAGGGGGCAGGGATCCGGACAAGAAGGGGGTTCTGCCATCGCAGACACCCCACGCCCAGCGTCCTGACCTCAGCAGGCCCAGAGCTCCCTCGCGTGACAGAGGGAAAGATGCACAGACAGGGGCGCGTAAACAGGAAACGTGTCACACGCAGACGGTGTCACCAGCAAGCTGTATTTCCCCACAGTTGCAAGAAGCCTGTGCCCACCTCTCCCCACTTCCTCTCACACACAGGCGCGCACGGCTGCGCTCACAGGTGGGACAGCCACACTCGCCGCCGAGCTCCCGCGGAGCTGCACACTCACCGAGCGTGACAGGTTGCCGCAGCCACACCACGGCCCCCGTTGTGCGCGCGCACACGTGTGCAAGAAGGCCCATGCAGGAAGCCCGGCACACAGGGGCCCCAGTTACATTCACACAGGCCTCACAGAGTCTGCCAGGAGAGGAGAGAGCAAGGAACAGCCCTGGAGACAGCCAGAGCGTGGCAACACAGATGCGGGGACCCCGGACAGGCTCCCCACAAGTCACAGGGGTCTGCTCTGCTCTGCGGCCTCCACCACCTGGCGGGGAGACCAAGCAAACGCCTGCTGAAAAGCGGCCGGGCGGGCATCAGCCCCGGGTTGGGGACACACACTGAAAGGGGCCAGGGGCGGGGGCCATGCACACACCTGCTCGCCACGGCAGGGGAGCTCATCAGCGCCCACCAAGAGGCCAAGAGGCCACTGGAGCTCTGGGGGAGGAGGGTCTCTGGGAGACCCACAGGGAGCCACAGGCCGGTCGTCTCGCCCTCTCTGCTTCTCCACACACACAAAGCCCCGCTGCACACACAGAAGCCCCAGACAGCCAACAGCTGCGCAAGTGGACACATGGACAACGGACACTTGCACACAGAGCACACAGCGGTGCCCAGGTAAAATGCAGGTGTACACAGCTCGCACCAAGTCACAGCTGCAGGGCCAGGTCACTACAGACGGTGACAGCTGGACCACACACGGGAGCGAGGGGTCACAGCTGCTGCACACTAGACAGAGCACACACGGGTCGTTCACATTCGCACACGGACCCAGGTGGGCGGGAACCGGCAAACACACAACCAGAGGCTCACAGCCCCCCAAAAGTGGCTGGAAGCTGGCGGCACACCGAACGCCGGCGTGCAGACAACACACAGCTCACAATGCGAAGCAGTAGGCCCGGCCCGACAAGCTGGGGCCTCCCTGGGGCGCCCACCACCCCAGGGGCCCCCAGGCGCCGCGTCTGCGGAACCCCGGGCCCCCCAGAGCCAGGGGCACACACAGGACAGCCCTGGGGCCGCCGGGAGTGGGGGGGCGGCCGGTCTCCCCCAGCGGCCGCGGTCTCCCCCAGTCTCGGTCACCCCCCAGCGGTCTCCGTCCCAGGCCCCAGGCCCCAACACCGGTTCTGCCTCGGGGC